CCCAATTTTAAAGCCTCCCCCTTTAAAAGACCCCAGCTCACAACCAGGGCAGACATTTTCCCTGCCCAGAAGGTAATCTGTCCCATGTGTTCCTTTGCTAATAAACTCTATTCCGATGGAGTTTTATCTGTGTCCTGGTGCTTTCTCCCAATCAAACTGGATTCATCCATAGGCCACTTTACCTATCAGTTTTAAGCAGGAGTTTTAGGAAATCATAAACCCTGTTCGATGTTTTAATCTGTGTCCATAGTGTTTGCTCTTTCCAAGTCTTCACCACCTTTGTGATGACTTGATAATGGTATTTAGTGAAAAAAAATCTGTTCTTTTTTTTTCCTACAATCTTTTTGCACGTGTGTATAGGAGGTATATTCATGTGTGTGCACACAATGCAAGCAGTTGTACCTTGAGTATCTACCTTATTCTGTGTTTTGGTACAAATCAAACTGTAATTAAAATTTTATGACCCACTCCTACAAACCCCAATATAAGCCATGATTACAATCTTCCATCATCACAAAAGGATCATGAGCTAAACAACTTTTCTATCATTACAAAGGTTCATGTTCTACACAACAGACAACAGGCCTGGCTTGAGGGTTTTCAGGGACAGCTGCATTTTCTTCAATACTATCACTAGGTTCATGAGCAAACCAAAGGAGACCTTTGGGTCTCCTTTCCTGAGGAGAGGAAGCTGTGGATGTTTCTCACAAATGTGGACAATAGAGTAAGCATGCCAGCAAGCCTCTCCTTACACCCAGGTGATTTGATAGTCTGCAACTCAGAGGGAATATGGTAGTTTGTTTCAAGTATTTTGATCGCTGGAATTTCTATTAAAACAGCTGAAATCTTATCAGCTTATGAACAGACTGTTTCCCCATAGTCATGGAGTTCTGCCTCTAAATTTATGTACCTTGAATTACATTAGAGTCCATTTGTCCTGTATTTGTTTTAGAACACTTTGGTTCGAATTTTTTTCTTTCCGGTCTTTTTAAGACAGGGTCTCCCTGTAGCCCCAGCTGTCCTTGAACTCACAGAGATCCGCCTGGCTCTGCCTCCCGAGTGCTGGGATTAAAGAGTACCACCACGCCTGGCTATGGTTCTAATTTTAAGGTAACTGCCAGGTGTGGTGGTAACAGCAGCACTTAGGAGGCTGAGGCTGGAGGATCAAGGTCAACCTAGCCTGAGTAGCTGTCTCAAAACAAACAAAAGCCAGGTGTAGTAGCACATGACTATAATCCCAGTACTTGGGAGATGTAGGCATGAGAATCAGGAGTTTAGGCTAGCCTCAACTATGAGTTTGAGGCCAGTGTGGGCTATGTAAGACCCTGCTTTAAAAATAAAATAAAGCCAGGGGTGGTGGTGCACGCCTTTAATCCCAGCACTTGAGAGGCAGAGGCAGGCAGATCCTCTGTGAGTTCGAGGCCAGTCTGGTCTACAGAGTGAGTTCCAGGCACCTGGAGCTACAGGGAGACCGTCTCAAAAAGACAAAAAAAATAAAAAATCAAAAAATAAAATAAAACTAGGACTGGAGAGATGGCTCAGCAATTAAGAACACTGGCTGTTCTTGCAGAAGACCTGGTTTTGAATCCCAACACCCACATGGCAAGCTAACAACTGTCCCTAACTCCAGTTCCAGGGGATCCGACAGCCTCTTCTGTCCTACATGGGCATTGCACAACACTTACCTACATGCAGGCAATACATGCATACACATAAAAATAAAAAATATATATAAAAAAAACAACCCATCAGATTCACATACCCAACTAACTGCCTATTAACTAGGAAAATTTAACAAAGACAAAACAGAGGTCATCTCCCTCACTAAAAGTCCCTTTCTACCTATAGTCTTTGCCATTCCCAACTCCATTTTTACAGCTGTTCTCACCAAAAACGTAGCAGTCATTCTGGATTCTCTTGTCTTTCTCTTAAACCTCACATCAGGTAACCCTACTATATTTACCCTCACAACATACAAGATTTCAATGGCTTCCTACCACTTCCAATGCCACCATCCTGGTGTGATCAGTACCTCTTACTTCTAACTGGTCTTCCACATTGTATTGTGGCTGTCCAGAAGTTTTGTTCTCAATTTCAGCAATCCCGGTTATTCTATTAAAATAGATTAAGAAATGTGGCTTTTGTATTCAAAATACTGCAATGGCTCCCATCTCACATAGATAAAAAGCACAATTTACCATGCCTAACTGGAGTCCAGGCATCCCTCACCCCCATTTTCTTTCTGACCTCATATCCAACCATCTTGTATTTGCTTATTAACCCATTCTAGCCATACTGGCCCCCATGTTCCTCAAATACAGCAGACATATTCTGAACACTAGCTATTCTCTCTGCCCAAAACATTCTCCTCCCAAGTATCTATAAGGTTTAATTCCCTCACCTCTTTCAAAAATCTTTGAACTGGGCCAGCAGTGAGTCAAGTGTTTGCTGCACAAGCCTTACCACCTCAGTTCAAGCCCTAGAATGCACGTAATGGTGGAAGGAGAGAACCCACTCCACATTGTTGTCCTCTGACAGCCATGCAAACATACTGTGGTATTCACACACACAATGCATACACACACACACACACACACACACACACACCATACACATACACAATAATAAATTCTAAAAAAAATTTACATTTTTGAACTACTAGTTGTGGTGGTAGATGTCTTTAATCCCAGCACTGGGGAGGATTAAGGCAGGATGACACCAACTTTGAGGCCAGTCAGGGCAATTTAGCATGAACATTTTTCAAAGGGAAACTTGAAACAGAGCTAGGTGACTGAGGTATCTCAATGAGTAAAGTTCAGATCCCTAGAACCCATGTAAACCCAGATATAGTAGCACTTTGTAATTCCACTGTTTCTACTGGGAGATGGTAGGCAGAGACAGGAGAATCCTGGAAGCTCACAGGTCAAGGTGGGCCAGCTAGCCTGTCTCCAACAGGGTAGAAAGCAAAAACCAACACCTAACCTCCACACAAGCACCATAGCATACATACGTGACCATATTCACATACATCAACATGCACACATACACACATATCATTCACACATTACACACACAATGATTTTTTTTAAAGGGCTAGGGATGCAGCTCAGTTGGCAGAATGCCTGCCTTGCATGCAAGAAGCCCTGGGTTTCAATCTCAGCTCTATATAAAACCAGGCATGGTGATGTATGCCTGTAATCCCAGCACTCAGAAGGTGGAGGCAACAGAATGAGAAGTTCAAGGTCATCTTCAACCGCACTGTGAGTTCAAGGCTAGCCTGGGATATATGAGACCCTGTCTCAAAGGGGTTGAGGGTGGGAAATGTAGTTCAGTGGTAAAGTACTGCTAGCATGCACAAGGCCCTGGGTTCAATCCTTACTAGTAAAGGGGAAAAAAGTAATCAAGGTGTCTTTCTCAATGAAATCTACCCTTACCTACCTAACTATACCCCTCCCTACATTCTCCACCCTGCTTAAGCTGTGCTTTTCTTTTGTTCAGGGTTTGGGGGTTTTAGTTTTGTTTTGGGTCTTTTTGGGTAGTACTAGAGATTGAACCCAAGGCTTCATATATGCTAGGCAAGCACTCTACCACTGAGCTAGATCCCTGGTCCCTTTTTACATGATTTTGTCTCTTATATAGTATATATATTGAAGATGTTTATTGTTTATTAT